CCCCCCCCCCCCTTCCCCGAAAGGAAATTCTGGGGCCGCCACTGTACCAAGTACCGCGCTTGTAAGTCCCTCTGGTTACGGTTGTTTTGCGCACGAATTTTACCGTAAGTAAATCCAGATGGGACCCCATAATTCTGAGATCTTAATCTTAAACTCACTTGTCAGTTTCAAATCCAATACTTTTTCTCTGTGTTGCTGTTGATGATAGTCCGGTAACCATATACAGCGAATCCAAGATCTTGTAACATGCCGCTTGGATGTCATCTACTAAAGATCAAGCAAATTGCGGAGAAAAATATTTGGAATTTAGACAACTAACACAACAGATCAGTTCCAAAGTGATTTCGTGCCAGATGTCCAAACATGGTCGTAAGCACAGGGATGATCATTTGATGGGCAAATTCTAATGAAATCCAAGATCTAAGGTTTTGGCCACGAATAAGTGAGTATTGGCCATTTTCCTGGAAACACAATTAATCCAACTCGTTCAAAATTTGATGTTATATATCACAAAATATCATGAAAAATAAAAAGTAGTAACCTTGAGTTCTTTCACTGCTGCAAAAAGATCATCAGCGCAATTGTTGAAGAACGTCAACAACGACGTACGAACGATGTCAGAGTTCACCTTGACCAGAGTTCTAAAAAATATTACTTTTACAGGTTTGACAGAAATTTTGCTAAAAATAATTTCCACCTCAAATCCAACGCCTGCGTAAGTCCCTGTAGGCATTTTACCGTGATCTTTGCTACGCTTCCAAAAGCACGATTTTTTATTCGAAGCAAGGAAGCTAGACGGCAGAACAGACTGAAATTCGCAACAATTTTCTTCTTCTTCTTCTTCAAAAAAAAAAAGGAAATCACTCACTTGGCAACCATCTCTTTTTCTTTGTTACTGGCTGTACCCGTCTGTACGATGCTGGATCCTTCCAAGAAGTAGTTCTTATGGGCATTGAAGTACGCATGCATCAGAGGTAGAACGACCTAAAAGTTATTCTTATCTCAATTTTTGCT